CTGTGCCGGCCACGGGGGTTCCCCTCCGCGCTGCCTGTCACGAAGCGGAAAGGGAAGGCGCCGGGGTTCCTCTGCCCCGCTCCGTGCTGGCGACATTTCTGTGGGAGCCCCATCCGAGCGCTGCGTGCGCCTTGTCGCTTGTTTCACACCGAGACAAACGTGCGCTGGGATTTTCAGCCACGTGCCACATCTCCGGGGTGGCTGAATGGCGATCCTGTAGCTCCCTGCGTCCGCGCCGGAGCAGCCGATTTACGTCGCCAGGCGCAGTACTTCCCAGCCCTCGATCAGCCCCGTGCTGAGGAAGAGGCAAGCCCAGCCCCCGGTTGAGTAACTGGAGACGGCAGGCCCTGCGTGGGTTGAGTGACAGCAGCTGGTTTTGTAACCTCGCTTCAGCCTCGGGGCTCCCCCTCGCCACAGCTGGGGCCTCTGCAGCCAGCCTGAGCGAGCACGAAGAGGAGCAGCTGGGCAGGCTGCTGGGGCCTTGCGGTGCGCTTTGAAGGGAGCTTTGTGCATCAAGAAGCCCCAAAGGAGAAACAGCCGGATCAGGTGAGAAAATGCGGAGACGGATCCGCGTGAAGGGGCAGTGCAGTGGGCCCTGAGCGTGCCTAGGTTTTCTGCTGGGTGGGAGGTGATCGAACTGTGTGCACTTACCAGACAATTTGCATTAGGGAGGAAATTGCATAGAGGGGTTTTCCTTTTCCTTTAATGGTAAGTGTTTTAAAACTTCCCCTTCATTGTGGTCTGCAACTTGCCCTCCAAGTGCTGTCTAGGAAGGTTTGGAGAAGTTGTTCATTTACTCCTTAATTACAGCACATGGCATAGAGGATCTGTATGGTACTTTTTGGCTCTTCTGTTAGTTTAGTGTGTGGCTTTTTGAAGCAGGGTAGGAGCCAGAGGCTCCTGAGATAAGGTCAGGATATGTTCCTTAATTTCTTTTTTAAACTGCTCGAGTTAAAGTTAGGAAACCACATGCTCTCTGACCCACAGCTTTATCCCAGTCTTGTTCTGGGAAAGTTGAGTACTGGGCTGTGGACTGGGAGGTCACTGGAAAAGCAGTCCAGACTGGTGGCAACTGACAGCTGCTGACGGTTAATGGCTGCTGGGTGATTTCTCTCTGGTTTCTTGTGGAGAGTTACCAAAAAAAGTGGCATTGTCAGGCTCACCAAAATGGGGTTTCACTGATGGGCAGGATGATGCCCTCTCCCAGTCCTAGAGACTTTCACTTCATCTTCACTGCTGAGGCATGCTAGGAGGGAAGAGGAGGGCTGAGGTTTGTATTGTTGTGGTTAGTTGGTAGATCAAAAACTTTAGTTTCCAGGGCTGCCAGTCTAACATCTTCCAGCAGCTCCTTTCTACAGGACAATGTACACAGGGTAGTTTCCTGCAAGTGTTGAGAGTGTGTGTAGTCCTGTTAGGCTTGGGGGTTGCATATGTTGTTCCCAAGGGTCTAAGCTCCATTTGTGTCGTCTTCCCCCTCTTGGCCACCATCCTAAGGCAGAGGAGCAGGCAGTGACAAGCTGAACTCAGAATGAAGCACAGCTGCATCCACTGGTTCCGCAAGGGGCTTCGCCTGCACGATAACCCTGCCTTGTTGGCAGCAATGAATGACTGCAGTGACCTATATCCTATCTTCATCCTTGACCCCTGGTTCCCAAAGAACATGCAGGTCAGTGTCAACCGCTGGAGGTTTCTGATTGAGTCGCTGAAGGATTTGGACGAGAGCCTGAAGAAACTGAATTCAAGGCAAGTACAATTTGAGCAGGTCTCAATGCAGGCAGGCTGTCCTCAGGCTGGCTCAGAAGGGAAACATGGAAATGCCTTAGGCTTGATTTTTGCAGGCCTCTCCTGCAGGACTCTCAGCGCATTCAGAGAGTTACTGTGGAGATGCAGGTCCCAGCTTGCAATACTCCCTCTCACTTGGGAGTGCCCTGGTCAGCCCTGGGGGCAATATGGGTCCCAACATGCAGTTCCCCTTCTGACTTGGGCCAAGCCTGGGTTTCTGTGCTGAGCCTTTCCCCAGCCTCTGGCTGACTGCGGGTGTTGACTGTGTCTCTACAGGCTGTTTGTGGTGCGTGGCCATCCAGCAGAGGTGTTCCCAGGCCTTTTTAAAGCATGGAAGGTAACACGGCTGACCTTTGAGGTAGATACAGAGCCCTACTCCAAGCTGCGTGATGCAGAGGTAGTGAGGCTGGCAGCTGCACATGGTGTCCAGGTTATCCAGAAAGTGTCCCACACTTTGTACGACACTGACAGGTTGGTACCAGGGGTGGGGACCCTGCCAGGCTCATTCACTTATGCACATTCAAGTTGCTTGAGCCACAACAAGACGAAGGTGCAGGTGCTCTTTGTCCTGTAGTCTGGTAATAGAAAACCCTTTGTTTTCCATAGGATAATTGCTGAGAACAATGGCAAAGTGCCTCTGACCTATAGACAGCTGCAAGCTGTGCTGGTTGGGCTGGGATCCCCAAAGCAGCCTGTGCTAGCTCCCACTCTGGAGACCCTGAAGGGTGAGTATGGGGCAAATTCTTCTGTTAATATGATAGTTTTCTGCTAGAGATTCCAGGACTGGGTCTGCAGACTTCTGGGTTTGTTAAATTCCCCCAAATCCTCCTTGTGTGCCCAGCAGACAAGGAGTCACTTTCATTTCCTTTCCTAGCTCCTGGTGTTGTGAAGCTGGCTTCCACCCCAGAGGTGGCTGCATTTTGGTGCTTGTGTTAGGAATTTAGTTCTGTAAGGCATTTTTGAGATTCTTTACAGCTGAAGGGGCTAGAGAAATGTACAGTATATTTCAGAACGGCAGCACTGAGTGCATGTTTCCCCAGACTGCTGTACTCCTGGCAGAGACAACCATGATCCAAAGTATGAGATCCCTACGCTGGAGGAGCTGGGACAGGACCCAAAGGAAGCAGGTCCTTGTCTCTACCCAGGGGGGGAATCCGAGGCACTTTCCAGACTGGATTTTCACATGAAGAGGATGGTAGGTGCCCAGCATTAATCCTGTCTCTCCCTCTGCCTCCTCCAGTGAAGAGCTGACACTGATTTACTGAGTTATAAAGCAAAAAGTGTCACAGAACATCTCGCGATTGCACACAACTTTGCACTTGGGTTACCTGGACTTTGGCAGGAGTAGCACTGAGGGACCGAAACAGTGCCAGTATTTCCCATAAAACTACATTTGAAGGGAAAGCTTATACTTTAATCCCTAGTTTACTCCTGTGGCCTTATGGCTGAGAGCGAGCGAAACTCTGGGCATCTGAACCCCATGCCCCTGGACTTGGGCCTGCAAGTAGGATGCCTGCCAAAGAAACATCTGAAGCCCCAGGTAGGGTGGAGGATGTTTGCTGGTAGTAGGGCCATGCATGGTACTTGACTGACTCATGGATTTGAAATTGATTTGGCTGATTTGGCTTAGAACATGAAAAATTCTCTTTAAAAAAAAAAAGTTTATGCTTTAATAAATCATCTTTTCTAGGTGCAATAAGTTTTGTCAGAAACTCTCAGCCAGCTCCTGGGGAGGAGAAGACATTCAGTCCTGCCCCCTTTTCCTCCGACACAGAGAGCCCCTAGTTTGCATAGCTGAGTTTTAGCTTCCTCTCACCTCCTTTCCTTTCCTTTCTCAGACCTGGGTGTGTAACTTTAAGAAGCCTGACACGGAGCCCAACACCCTCAGTCCAAGCACCACCGTGCTCAGCCCTTACATTAAGTTTGGCTGCTTGTCAGTGCGAACCTTCTGGTGGAAGCTGGCTGAGATCTACAGAGGGGTAAGGCAGTGGCCCACTCAACTTGGTAGTTCTTTTATTAGGTGGTAGCTCCTTGCTGTCTGGTGCAGTGACATTAAATTACTGGATCAGGCAGGTGTGAGGTGGATGTAATAGTGTTCCTGACCAGTGACTTGTGCTCTGCGGGGACTGCTGGAGCTTCTGGGGCATGGGGCTTTTGGAATAATTTCTATTGCTCTCAATAAGTTAAATTATCCACTTGCCTTGATCAGAAAGCAGGCTGTCTTTGAGCCAAAGGAGATGGAGCTTGTATGGCAGTAGGACCTACTCAGCAAGACAGTATTTGGGTGAGATAAATAATGCAGCAAGTTACAATTAGCTCTGAGCATTGGGGGACCTGGGCTTGCACCCTCAGATTGCAAGAGAGCCTTGTTCTAATCTGAATTTGTCCATATTTCCAAAGGATTTCACAGTTTGGTGTTATGGGTAACTTCAGGTGGAGAGAGTCCAGGCCTGGAACAGCAGAGTATATCATGGGTCAGGATTAAGGTGCCTTGACTGAGTTGCATGGGGGTATCTCATAACTGGAGTAATAGGAGAGTTGCAAGTCAAAGCTGCAGTGCTTTGGCTACACTGTTTGTGTGCAAGAAGTTTGGAAAACCCCTCCCTGGATTATGCCCAGCTCTAGCCAGTCGTATTAGCTCTGCACTCCCCAGAGGTCTCAGAGAATCCAGTGAATGGGCACAGCAAGACTTGGAAGCCAATAGCAGTAACCCGAGATCCCTTTCCAGGGCAACCTTCTTTAATGTTTTTGTGTTCGTTCTTGCAGAAGACACACTCCTCCCCACCAGTTTCTTTGCACGGGCAGCTGCTGTGGCGGGAGTTCTTCTACACAGCAGGGGCTGGGATCCCCAACTTCAACAGGATGGAGGGAAACCCCATCTGTGTGCAGGTGGACTGGGATGACAACCCGGAGTATGTCAAGGCATGGAAGGAGGTACTCAATCTTGCCAGTGTGGGCCAGAAACTAAAATGCTCCAATGACAGCAGCTTGATCTTCACTGTAGTGCCTTTTGGCTAGGTACTCCAAAGGCCCTGCTCCTACTCTAACCAATGGAAAATTCAGGGACAAGGCCAAAGGCAATGGAGGTTGTGCTGACTAGATGGACCTGGGAGTCAAGGCCCTGGATTTCTGATGTTTTGCTGGAAGAACTGCAGCAAGCTTCATCAGTTCCTAATATGCATTCACTGAAAGCTGCAGCCACATATTAAAACTGGATGGTTTGTATTAGGCTTTGTGCTCAGAGGCCAAATACATCTGGAGGTGTCTGCAGTTCTCCCAGGAATCAATCTGACCCACAATATCTTGTGCTTGTCTTTAAAGGACAACTGTTTAGTACAAGGACTTATTTTACACAGTGTGAGTCTGTGTTCTGAAGATGGATACAGTTATGAGAGGAAATCATACTGGTCTGGGAAGCCAGGACTTGGCCCAAGCCTGATCCTTCAGTGTCAAAAGCTCAGCACCTGCCATGTCAACTAGCAGAGAGCCCTGTGATTAACAATAGTTATATGGTCTTTATCAGTCTGGGCCTGAGCTCTGGGGGCTGAGCTCTGGGGGCAGCCTCATATAGCCTGAGTGAGGCACTCTTGGCCTTGCTGGAGCTGCCCCGTAAGTACCTGGCTGGGTCAGTCTGCTGGGGGTTAATCTCAAGTTCTGTTTCTTTGGCAGGGCCGGACAGGCTACCCCTTCATTGATGCCATCATGACACAGCTGCGCACTGAAGGCTGGATCCATCACTTGGCCCGGCATGCTGTGGCCTGCTTCCTGACACGAGGAGACCTCTGGGTGTCCTGGGAGGAGGGACAAAAGGTCAGCAGCTTTTGTCTGCTGCTAACTCATGGCACTGTGGTCCCACTGTGAGAGGGGCACTGCGTAGGCCTTGTCAGGGGTTGCTTAACAAAATCACTAAGGGCACAGGATGCTCTGGCAGTTGCCAGTGATACTGTCTGTGGCTGGCTCTGAATGGGAGAGAAGCCAGAGGCTGCTGAGAGCTTCAGTGGCTTCTTATCTAGTTAGAAACCAAGCCTTTTCAGAGTAGTTGGTGAGGGTTTGAGGCTTTGGCCTGCCTGGATGTCTGCGCCCACACAGCAAGCCGAGCATAGGGAATAGCTCCCCACACTATAGTGCAAGGGAATGGTACCTGCCTGTTCCAGTGGCCCCTACTTTGCCTGCACTCTGAAGTGGCTGTTCCCTAACTACAGTAATAGGGCACCCATATCTGTGGTATTTTATATCACTCACAGGGCTGTCTTTACTCTTCCAAAGCTGAGACTTCTTTTCCCAGTCCCTGGA